GTGAGGGAAGGCAGAGAGGTGGAAGGAAGACCAAAGGCACGATTAAAAAGGAGGGTCTCAAGACCGGCCTTGAAGGAGGCAAGGGAGGAAGCGAGGCGACAGAACTGTGGGATGGAGTTCCAGAGTGTGGGGGCAGAGAGGCTGAAAGCCCGGCCACCGATGGTAGGGCGGGTCGGGCGGGAGACATGGAGCAGACCGGAGCCCGATGAACGGAGGGAGTGGGCAGGTTGGTAGGGAGTCAGCAGGTCAGAGAGGTAGGAGGGGACGAGGCCATGGATGGCCTTAAAGGTGAGGACGAGGATCTTGAATTCGATCCTCTAGGGGATGGGGACCAGTGGAGTCGGGCGAGGGTGGGAGTGATGGGGTCGGGCGAGGGTGGGAGTGATGGGGTCGGGCGAGGGGGGGAGTGATGGGGTCGGGCGAGGGTGGGAGTGATGGGGTCGGGCGAGGGTGGGAGTGATGGGGTCGGGCGAGGGTGGGAGTGATGGGGTCGGGCGAGGGTGGGAGTGATGGGGTCGGGCGAGGGTGGGAGTGATGGGGTCGGGCGAGGGTGGGAGTGATGGGGTCGGGCGGGGGGGGTGGGGTCGGGCGAGGGTGGGAGTGATGGGGTCGGGCGAGGGTGGGAGTGATGGGGTCGGGCGAGGGTGGGAGTGATGGGGTCGGGCGAGGGGGGGAGTGATGGGGTCGGGCGGGTGGGAGTGATGGGGTCGGGCGAGGGTGGGAGTGATGGGGTCGGGCGAGGGTGGGAGTGATGGGGTCGGGCGAGGGTGGGAGTGATGGGGTCGGGCGAGGGTGGGAGTGATGGGGTCGGGCGAGGGTGGGAGTGATGGGGTCGGGCGAGGGTGGGAGTGATGGGGTCACTGGTGCATGAGAGTACACGAGCTGCAGAGTTTTGGATGATCTGCAGTTTGTGAAGGGAAGAGTTGGGAAGGCCGATGAGGAGGGAGTTCCTGTAATCGAGCCTTGATGTGACGAATGTGTGGGTTAGGGTTTGGGGGCCTGAGGGGTGAGACAGTGGCGGAGTCTGGCAATGCTGCGGAGGTGGTGGTCGGCAGTGCCGGTCATGGCGCGGATGTGGACAGTTCAGGGTCAAACAAGATACCCAGGTTCCTGACCGGTTTAGTGAGTTTTGAGTGTGCAGCTGATGCTGAGAGCACCTGAGGTGCGGATGCGCTGGCGTGAGCCAATCAGGAGGGCCTCGGTCTTGTTGACGTTGAGTTGGAGAAAGTTGCCCCCCGTCCAGGACTTGATGTCGGACAGGCAGTCGGTCAGGACACCAGTAATCCTTGAGTTGAGGGTGGAGGCAGAGAGATAGAGTTGGGTGTCATCCGCAACCATGTGGAAATTTACCCCATGTCTGTGGATGATGTCACCAAGGGGGAGCATGTGGAGGGTGAAGAGGAGGGGACAGAGCCCTGAGGAACACCGCACGAGACTGTGGGGGGTGCTGGAGGACAAGCCATTTGCCGTGACGAAGTGGAGGTGGTGTGAAAGGTAGGACCTGAACCAGTCAAGGACGGAACCTTGAAGGTTGAAATGCTGTACACTGTCCAGCGCCTCCCAACGTGAAAAGCGCTATACAAATGTAATCTTGTTGTTGTTGTTGTTGAGGTGGTGGAGGAGGTCCACTGTGTCAAAGGCAGCAGAGAGGTCGAGGGGGACGAGGAGGCAGAGGGAGCCCTGGTCACACTTGGTCAGGATGTCGTTTGTGACCTTGACAGAGCAGTTTCGGTGCTGTGGACAATTGGAAGGGTTCATGGAGGGAGAGGGAGGAGAGGAAAGAGCAAAGCTGGGAGGCAACGGCTCTCTCAAGGACCTTGGATAGGAAAGCTTAGTGGCTAGAGTACATTCTGGGTTTGATTCATGGGCAGGCCAAAAAGTTTTCTTACTCCACAAGCCACTGTTTACCCAGCAGTAAGTAGGAACCCGGTTGTCGATTGGTGGATCACTCTTCCAGCGGTAATAATCCCTTCAAAAATAAATAATAATGATAATAAAATGGTCACTCAATCCACGACTGTTTATGGGACGCTGCTGTGGGCAATTGGCTGCCGCGTTCCTCCCACAAAATTTACAGTCAATTCACTTTACAGTATATTCTGTGCAGCGCTTTGAGAAGTCTCGAAGATGTGATAACGCGCTGTATCAAATGCAGGGATTATTATTATATATTCAATGGGGAAGAATTCTGCCCAGTGCAGGCTGACCCCCATTTACAACTCGGTGATTTACGATCATAAAGTAATATAACAGGGTGTGCAAAGAACAAAGTCACCAGCCCGGGTTGTTTGGTCTTCACAGAAAGTTAGTTGATGTCTCAGTTGGCGAGTGCGCCTTGTTTAAAAGAATCAGAATGTTAAGCCGAGGTCCCGTCAGCCTACTCAAGTGGACTTTAAAGATCCCGCGGCCTAATTGCAAAAAGAAGGCTGTTTCTCTCTCCCAGTGTCCTGGCCAACAAATCGCCCGGGTAAAATTAGTCACTCGCTTCATGGCTGGGTCATTTGCTGTTGGCAAGTTGCTGCTAAATTTGCCTACAAAATATAGAAATGTAGAGTTGTTGCATTTGACAGAAGTTTCCTGGGAAGTGATTTTTATGGTATGCGCTTAGTAACAAATGTAAGCATTATTTTTATTTGTTCAGATGAAATTGGGAGGAGTATGTGCAGATAGGATTGTTGCCCTTATTACAGTTAATCTCTGCCTAGATTACTCCAGCTCTCTCCATCTGGTGCTACTATATACCCTCTTCCCCTTGCCCTTGCCCCCCCACTCCCAACCCCATAACTCCACTTTATCAATGTATATCATGCTGAGAGAACATCTCAAGGACCTTTACAAAGACCCGAGCAGGCGAAACGTTGGGCAAGTTTCCTTAACTCCACATACTCTTGTTTACCAAGCAGTGAGTAGGAACCTGGTTGTTGGTCAACTGGTGGATCGCTTTTCAGGGGCTAACAGTCCCTTCAAAATAAATAATTAAATAATAACATGGTCGCTCAATCCACGAGTATTTGTGAGACCCAGCTGTACACAATTGGCTGCCTCATTTTGCCCCCACAAAAACAGTCACTGCACTTTACCATATATTCTGTGAAGCGCTTTGAGACATCTCAATTATGTGATAAGGCCCTATATTAATATTATGAGTATATATGGTATATATTTTAAAGGTGTTAGACTAATGTAATTGTGTTGTTGTTGGATGCCAGAGCTGGTTGGGAGACAGGAATGATAAAGAGTTAATGTTGCAGTCAAATAGATATGTTTTTCGATGGGTTTTTGAAGATAGAGAAGGAGCGGCGAGGTGAAGGAATATCGGGGTCTTGTGCAGGAGAGGCTGTGTGGGCAATTCTGGATGATTTGACGTTTAAGTGGATGAAACAGCGGACAGAGAGCAGAGTGTCTGAGGTAACAAAGGTATCACTTCTTTACTCAGTAACTAACCTCACTCTCCTCCACCTTTGCAATGCACAGCCTCTTAGCTGAGTCTAATGATTATTTTACCCTTTCGCCATCTAATAGCTGCCACTAATAGCCTTTCACTGAAGTCTAATCTCAGCTAGCATTCGTACACAATAATAGTAATAATAATAATAGTAGTAATAATAATAATCCTTGCATTTGATATAGCCCACTTACAGTCGTAGATTGAGTGACCACATTTTTTTTTGAAAGGATTATTACCCCTGGAAAAGTGACTAACAGCTGGGTTCCGACTTACTCCTGGTAAACAGAGCCGTTTATGTGGAGTAAGGAAACTTGCCCAACATTTTGCCCTGCCCAGGAATCAAACCCAGGTCCTCTCGCTTGTGAGGCGAGTGCTCTCACCAATACGTTCCAATAGACATAAACTCACCTGTTCCAAAGTAGTTTGATCCAATGTAATATTAGTCAGTCTATTTGCTCAGTTGTAAACGCCTCATCACTATTTAGAAAGAAAAACTCCAGCAAAGAATGACACAAAAATCACAATAATAATCTCCAATTAGACAGCTCTGAAATGTTAAAAAAAGTGCTAATTTTCAGAGTGTTTTTAGCAGACAGCTCAGGATGGTTTGGCATTTGAGTGGGAATCAGACACGACTGATTTGAGAGAACTGTGTGATTGCCTTTTGGATTTTATTATCATAATAATCCTAGCATTTGATTTAGCGCCTCATCGCATCGTTGAGACGTCTCAAAGCGCTTCACAGAATACACTGTAAAATGGATTTCCTGGGTATTTTGTAGTCAAAAATTCTAGTGTAAAGTCAACATAGGTTATTGGCTCTGTTATCAATGAAAGTTGTTGGCACAGCATCCCTGTCACTGACTCCCCGGTCAACATAATAATAATAATAATCCTTGCATTTGATATAGTGCTTATATATATATATACACACACACATCATAAAGTGCTTCACAAATTATACTGTAAGGTGAATTGACTGTATATTTTGTGCTTCGCAAAACAAAAGATTCTCATCAACACGAGAGGAACACACCTGCAAACTACCTTTCAGTTTTTCTTAATTGATTCAAACAAAGAATTCCTTTGGTCAAATAATTTTGGTCACTGAATCCCACGGCTGTTTGTGGGCCACTGCTGTGCGCGGTCGGCTGCACGTTTCGCCCACAAAACACACACGTCCTCACCTCGCTCTGCGGTGTGTCCTGCGAAGTGCTTCAGAGACATCTTAAAGATGCGATAAGGCGCTGTGTCAGATGCGAGGGTTATTAGATACCGTCAATCACGCGGGAAGGTAAAAGGTGAGTCCCAGTGGGGCCGCAGATCAGCATCTCACACTGGCACTGCCCACACCCCACACTGTCCCCAGAACACTGACCCAAAATATATAGCACTTTTTGGGGAGAAATAACATTTCAAAGTAACTTCAGGTGGAACTCAGTCAATCCGATAGACCAGAGTTTGCAAATACAACAACAGAATGATATGTGTAGAGAGGGGAGACCCCCCCACACCCCCACCCCCACCCCCACACACAGTCACTGTGCCTCACCTTGAGGACCCCCCGGTCCTGGTTGGGGCTGATGTCTATCGCCTCTGCCCCGACCTCAGGCTGTGTCCGGACCTCCCTCTCGCCCACTGTCCGCTCTCGGCCACTGGTCATGTTCTCAGTCTCTCACAGAGGGACAGTTCCTCAGTTCCTCAGTCAGTGAGTGAGTGAGAGAGAGAGTGAGAGAGTGAGAGAGTGAGTGGCGTTCAGATCGCGTGTGGACCTCACTCTCTGCTCAGACCTCCTCTGGTGTTGGTTATCTGTCACAAGTACCGGCGCTCTGTTCCTCTTCTCTCAGGTTCCCCACAGAGAGAGAGAGAGAGAGAGAGCGGTCACTCGGTTTCTGGAGCGATGTCCAGATGTCGCATTTCATTGTACATTAAACACTACAACTCAACCAACACTGAGCACTCACTCTCTCACAGAGTCTCTCACTCACTCACTCTCTCACTCACAGAGTCACTCACTCACTCTCTCACAGAGTCACTCACTCACTCTCTCACTCACAGAGTCTCTCACTCTCTCACTCACTCAGAGTCACTCACTCTCTCACTCACTCTCTCACAGAGTCACTCACTCACTCTCTCACTCACAGAGTCACTCACTCACTCTCTCACTCACAGAGTCACTCACTCACTCTCTCACAGAGTCTCTCACTCACTCTCTCACTCACAGTCTCTCACTCTCTCTCTCACTCACAGAGTCTCTCACTCTCTCACTCACTCAGAGTCACTCACTCTCTCACTCACTCTCTCACAGAGTCACTCACTCTGTCTCTCACTCACTCACAGAGTCTCTCACTCTCTCTCACTCTCTCTCTCTCACTCACTCACTCACAGAGTCACTCACTCTGTCTCTCACTCACTCACAGAGTCTCTCACTCTCACTCACTCACAGAGTCTCTCACTCACTCACCTCACAGAGTCACTCACTCTCTCACTCACTCACAGAGTCTCTCACTCTCTCACTCACAGAGTCTCTCACTCTCTCTCTCACTCACTCACAGAGTCTCTCACTCACAGAGTCTCTCACTCACAGAGTCTCTCACTCACTCACAGAGTCACTCACTCTCTCACTCACAGAGTCACTCACTCACTCATTCACTCACAGAGTCACTCACTCACTCATTCACTCACAGAGTCACTCACTCATTCACTCACAGAGTCACTCACTCACTCAGAGTCACTCACTCACTCAGAGTCACTCACTCACTCTTTCACTCACTCGCTCTTTCACTCATTCATTCGCTCACTCAGACTCACTCACTCATTCACTCACTCAGACTCACTCACAGATTCACTCACTCACTTAGACTCACTGACACACAGACTCACTGACACACAGAGTCACTCACTCACAGAGTCACTCACTCACAGAGTCACTCACTCACAGAGTCACTCACTCACAGAGTCACTCACTCACAGAGTCACTCATTCACTCACTCTATCTCACTCATTCACTCACTCATTCACTCACTCACAGACTGACTCACTCATTCACTCACTCGCTTACAGATTCACTCACTCATTCACTCACTCACAGACTCACTCATTCACTGACTCACTCATACACTCACAGACTCACTCACACACAGACTCATTCACTCACTCACAGACTCATTCACTCACTCACAGACTCATTCACTCACTCACAGACTCACCCACTCACAGCCTCACTCGCTCACTCACACACAGACTCACTCACTCACAGACTCACTCGCTCAGTCACAGACTCACTCACTCATTCACTCACTCACAGTCACTTGCTCACAGACTCACTCACTCATTCACTCACTCACACTGTCACTCACTCACAGACTCACTCACTCATTCACTCACAATGTCACTCACTCACTCACAGACTCACTCATTCACTCACTCACAGACTCACTCATTCACTCACTCACAGACTCACTCATTCACTCACAGACTCACTCACTCACAGACTTACTCATTCACTCACTCACTGACTCACTCATTCACTCATAGACTCAATCACAGACTCACTCACTCACTCACTCATAGCCTCACTCGCTCATTCACACACAGACTCACTAACAGACTCAGCTACTCATTCACAGCCTCACTTCGTCACTCACAGCCTCACTCACTCATTCATTCACTCACTCACAGACTCACTCACTCACATGCTCACTCACAGACTCACTCACAGACTCACTCACAGACTGACTCACAGACTGACTCACAGACTGACTCACTGACTGACTCACCCCACAGACTGACTCACTCAATCACTCACAAATTCACTCTCTCTCACTCACTCACACATTCACTCACTCATTTACTCACAGACTCACTCACTCACTCAGACTCAGTCAAACACAGACTGAATCACAGATTCACTCACAGACTCACAAACTCACTCACTCTCACCCACTCACACACTCTCACTTATACACATTCACTTACTCTTACTCACTCTCACATTCACTCACTCGTTCACACTCATTCACCCATTCACTGACACACTCAATTATTCTCGCGCATACACATTCGCACACTCACCCCCACACCCACTCATTCACCCATATATTCACTCACACACTCACTGACTCACTCACACTCACGCACACACTCACTCCATCACTGACTCACTCGTACAGACACTCACTTTCTCACTCACTGCCTCACTCACTCACTGCCGCATTCACACTCACTCTCTCACACCCTGACTCACTGCCTCACTCACACACTCACTCTCACTACCTCACTCACACACTCACTGCCTCATTCACTCACAATTTACTTTCAGGAGCTTTACACTACACCAGCTGATGCATGTTCTGTTTTCTGAACGTTTTGAGCGAGTTCAGCTGAGATAAAAGAATTGGACTTTTACGGCTGCCGTGTTCATGTATGAATACACAGTCACGACAAGTTGCAGTTAATCCTGTGAAGCCCTTTGAGATGTCATCCTGATGTATAACAATCATCATAAACTTAAAACGTGGAGTCCTGTAGTCAAGTGGTTAGACCACTCGCCTTGCAAGCAAGAGGACTTGGATTCGATTCCCGGGCAAGTCAATGCGTCGGGCAGTTTCCTTATTACTCACGCCTCTGTTTACCTAGCAGCAAATATCAGGTCTTCAAGACGTCTCAAAGCACTTCACAGAATATATTGTAAAGTGAATGAACTGTATATTTTGTGGGTGAAACACGGCAGCCAATTATGCACAGCAGCGTCCCCACATACAGTCCTCGATTGAATGGCTAAATTATTATTTGTTTAGTTATTTATTTTGGAAGGAATTATTATCCCTGGAAAAGTGATCCGCCAAAGAGTGGGGAGGAGAGTGAGTGTGTAGGATGTGTGTTCCATCATGTAGTTCATAATGTTTACCAGCTGAATAATTCACTGCTGAATCATATGTACACAACAGCATATCAGCCAATGTATGATCGGAGCGGGAGAGGGAGAGGCTACATTCTCCACAGTTGGTGTGCTAAAATGATTTGGTTTCTATGAGCCTGAGAGCACAAAATCATTTCAGTGTGAGATGCACTCCCAACATTTGCAGATGTGATCAAAGAGTTAGACGGGCCTGAAGAACTTGAATAAAGATGAAATAATAATCCTTGTATTTAAAAAACACCCTTATGTAGCGAGTCTCAATGTGCTTCATAAAATCATAGAATTATAGAATATTACAGCACAGTCCCACTCACCCGCTCTTTCCCCATATCCTCACACATTTTTCCTTTTCAAGTACCTATCCAATTCCCTTTTGGAAGTTGTTATTGAATCTGCTTCCATTGCCCTTTCAGTGAATTCCAGACCATAACAACTCTGCCTAAAAAAAAATTCTCCTCATCCCCCCCCTCTGGTTCTTTTGCCGATTATCTTAAATCTTCACACGATGTAACTTTGTGAAGTGTAGTACCTGTGTATTTTTAGGCGAACGCAGCAGCCAATTTGCAAACAAACAGACAGTTATGAAACAAATTCCCAATTTTGTTTGGCGGAATGGTTGGCCAGGACCACGGAAGAAACTCCTTTCTCTTGTTAACTAGTAGATGGCACCTTGGTTTGATGTATTATCCGAAGGACGGCACCTCCAACAATGCAGTGCATCTCCACTGGAGTGTCGTCGGCAAAGACTATGTGAACTCCAAGTCCCAAAGTGGGGCTTGAATCCACGGTCTCTAACATTTTGACCCAGAGGGGAGAGCGAGCTAGCAGCTGAGCCAGGCTGACACTGATACATCAAAGTTCAATACTTAAGGGAACCGCTCAACACTGAGCAAGGAAACAATGTCCCTGTGCTGGCAGTCATGCCCAGCACACACTCTTGGGTCCTTAAATCTTGCCATCGGGTGTCTAGAACAATCCTGTCTTCACCCACCATCCAGACTCTGGATCGTGCTGAGTGCTGGAGCCTAGGCTAACTATTGCTCTCCATCACTCAGGGCCAAAGACTCTTCTTCATCTGAACTTGGATCATCTTGTGATATTGTGAACTCACCGAACACTCATGTCAACAGAACATCCAGTACACATCAAAGTGAAATGAACATCTCAATGCTTCCTGCAAATGTACATTTTGTACCTAAAGCTACAAGGTTACTGTCATCACATCTCGATATAAAATCATTCATCCAGCCAGAACTCCCTGGCTACTCTTATACAGCATGATCAAAATGCCATGATACCATTACAATGTCTAACAAGTCTGAAAGAAATGATGATAATAATAATAATAATCCTTGCATTTGATATAGCGCTTTTCACGTCGGGAGGATGTCCCAAAGCGCTTCACAGAACACACTGTAAAGTGAATTGACTGTATATTTGTGGGCGAACGCGGCAGCCAATTGCGCACAGCAATGTCCCACAAACAGTCGTAGATTGAAAATGACCAATTTATTATTGTTTTTTTTTTTTTTTGGAGGGATTATTATTAGGCTCTGTGTGGAGTAAGGAAACTTGCCCAAGGTTTCGCCCTCTGCCTGGAATTGAACTCAGGTCTCTCGCTTGCAAAGCGAGTGCTCTAACCACTGAGCTACAGGACTCCACAGGATGATATATATATTTTTATATAAATAGGGTAGATATCACGACTTTTTGGTCACAATGTATAATAATAACCCCTGTGTTTGATAGAGTACCCTTTATATGTCTCAAAGCACTTCACAAGTTTTACTGTAAAGTTCACTTACATAATACAGTTACTTCACTTTACAGTAAATCCTATGAAGCACTCCTAATGTGGAGGATAAACAATAATAATAATCCTTGCATTTAATATAGCGTCTTATCACGTTGTTGAGACGACTCAAAGTGCTTCACAGAATATATGGTAAAGTGAATTGACTGTGTATTTTGTGGGCGAAACGCAGTGGCCAATTGCGCACAGCAGCGTCCCACAGACAGTCGTGGATTATTATTTTAGTAACTGGGTAT